AAGCAGAGAGGATCAGATCCTAACTGTCTAAAAACAAGAGGCCAAATCCTATGGTTGGGAAAAAAAAAGCTTGGTGTGGTGGCTCATGGGCCTGTAATGCCAGCACTTTGGGAGCCCGAGGCGGATGGATCACCTGAGTCAGGAATTCCAGACCAGCCTGGCCAACATGGTGAAACCCCGTCTCTACTAAAAATACAAAAATAAACCAGGGCCGTTAGTATTGTGCCTGTATCCCCAGCTACTTGGGAGGCTGAGTCAGGAGAATCACTTGAACCCTGGAGGCAGAGTTGCAGTGAGCTGAGATTGTGCCATTGCACTCAACCTGGCAACAGAGGAGATTCCATCTCAAAAAAAAAAAAAGAAAGAAAGAAAAGAAAAAAAATAGACTGGCAAAAAATATGTAAAAATTCTAGCCTATGGGTGGTGGGGCTGTAGGTGGCTTATCCCCCATTTTTATTTGACATTTTAATGTGAAAGGGATATAATTAAGTTGAAATTTTCTTTTTAAAGAAGGAAGAACAAATTCAATGACTATTAACAGCGTACTGTGATCCCTTCCAGTCCTGTCTTGGTGTACATAAAAGCATACATATGACACATATGTAACTATACTACAAATATTGCTTGGCAACTTGCTTCTTTAACATCTCATTTATATTTTTTCCACAGGAATATATACAGTCTACCTCATACTTTTTGATGACTGTATAGTGTTCCACTGTGTGTACAAAACAAATCTCCTTACCCCAATATCGATAGACTTTGTTTCCAAAAATGTTCAGCCTCATGAGTATCTTTGTTGACTCGTTACAGTCTTTCTGGGGGGGTAGATTTTCATAGGTGGAATTTCTGAGTCAAAGACATGTGCAATTTTGCCAAACTGCTCTCAATAAGTTTGTGCCAGGATACAAGGGTGCCTGTGTCTTCCTTTACCAAAATTGAGTATCATCAACCCTTTTAATTTTGCTAGTAGGATAGATTAAAAAAATATTTTATTAATGATGTTCGTTTCTTTTTCATGTCTTTTGGCTATCTGTATTTTTTTTGTGAATGAATTGCTCATATTCTTTATCTACTTTTTCTTTGGAAATTACACATATTGATATGAGGGTTCTGTACACTGTATGTGTTATACATATTGCAAACATTTTCTTCTATCTGTCTTTAAAAAAACTTTATATTTTTGAGACAAGGTCTCGCCCTGTTGCCCAGGCTGCAGTGCAGTGGCATGATCTTGCTCACTGCAAACTCTGCCCCACCTGGGCTCAAGCGATCCTCCCACCTCAGCCTCCTGAGTAACTGGGACTACAGGACTATAGCCACGTACCACCACGCCTGGCTAATTTTGTATTTTTTGTAGAGACCAGGTCTCACTGTGTTGTCCAGGCTGGTCTTGAACTTCTGGCTCAAGTGATCTGCCTAGATCTGGCTCAAGTGACCCGCACCCAGCCTAAAATTTTCATGTAGTTAAATCTGCATCAATATATTATTTTCTGACTTTTTATTTCATTTCACTCTTAGGAAGGCTCTATTTTAAGATTATAAAACATTCTCTGCATTTTCTTCTACTACTTTAAATGTACACTTATTTTTATTTTTAGAAATTAAAAAACTCGGCCGGGCGCAGTGGCTCACGCCTGTAATCCCAGCACTTTGGGAGCCCGAGGTGGGTGGATCATGAGGTCAGGAGTTCAAGACCAGTCTGGCCAAGATGGTGAAACCCCGTCTCTACTAAAAATACAAAAATTAGCCTCACGTGGTGGCAGATGCCTGTAATCCCAGCTACTCGGGAGGCTGAGGCAGGAGAATCACTTGAACCCAGGAGGTGAGGTTGTAGCAAGCTGAGATTGCCATGCACGCCAGCCTGGTGAACATAACAAGACTCTGTCTGGGGGGAAAAAAAAAAAAATAGTTCACCGCTTTCTCCCCCAGTATTAAAAAATGCCCCCTTTAGGCCGGCGCACGGTGGCTCACGCCTGTAATCCCAGGCCTTTATGGGAGCCCGAGGTGGCGGGGTTGCGGATCATTGAGGTCGAGTTCGAGACCAGCCTGGGCCAATATAGTGAAACCCTGTTTCTACAAAAATAAGTCAAAAAATTGAAGGCCGGGTGTAGGTGGCAGGCGCCTGAATGGCAAGCTACCTCGCAGCCTGAGGCAGGAGACATGGGTTTTCTGTTTTTAAATCTCAGGAGTGGAGGTTCAGTGAAGCCCGAGATCTACACTACTGGGCACCCAGTCCTGGCAACTCAGAATGAGACTCCATCCCCCCAGCACCCCCCCCAAAAAAAGAAAATGCCTCGCCTTTATACGATCTAGAGTCCACCAGATCAGAACCAATGCCTTTAATACTGCGGAGTTTCATAGCTAAGAAAAATAAACATAAAAAAGCACTTTTGGTGC